TATACTAAACTATCAATTACCATATCAGCTATCTAAAATCAGGGTACGCGACGCACCAGGTCGCGTTGCGCGACCATACCCCATACCATTTCCCCGCTAACACTAAATAATATTATACTCAGAATTTAATTTTGATAGGATATTTGAATACCTTACTATTGGTACCAATGGAATATCTTTAAATTTATATTAAAGATATGTTATGATTTTATTAGTAATATCATAAGGGATATTTAACAAAATTTTTTTACATTCTTTTCATATTATACATATTAACCACCAAATATGTATTAATTGATTTCTTTTACTATTATATTCAGTACAGAATTAGAAATAAAAATCATCTAATACAATACTGGTTGCCATTCTTTGATCTGCAATAATTTTTCAAAATAGTCATTTATCTTTTTCTGTTTCTGAAAAATGAATCTTATCAGGTTTGAAACTTATAAATTTGAAAAGTTGTTTATGAAGTTCAGCTATTTTATATAGATATGTAATATGTAGTATTTAATTTATAAATTAAAAATGATAAACATATTTTGTTTAGAAATAAGTAATAATCTATGTCATTATTTTTGATATAATAATTAGTAACAGCTTGATCAAGATGAAAATAGAAAATCTTGATCGACTTGAGAAGCTTGTTCTAAATATAGACAAATACAAGAATCCAAAAAAAAATAATAGTAAAAATTCGACTCCTCAATAGTCTTTCACATGCTTAATTTCAGGTCAGACTAATACAAAAAAATCTACTGAAGTTGTTTGTCTTTTGTCTGGAAATAAACTATATAGAATGTTTAATGATAAAAAAGGAGGTGTTAGATATATTAAGTGAGATGATGTAATACTTATTGAATATTATTTTAAAGAACCTAAATATATGTATATTAATTTGTATATCAAATAATTACAAATAGTCCAGAACCACATCATGAAGATATTACATTTTGGACTATAAAGCCTGATAAATTCCAAAACTAGATTCATTTTCTTCAGAAAGAGATACAGTAGCTATATTTGAGGATGTATGTACTGAATCAAAGAAAATTCAAGAAAAGATAATAACTTATTTTATTGAAGGTCATCATTCCAATGTTTTTTCGATATACATTTCACAAAGCTATTTTGATTGTCCAAAACTAATAAGAAAAAACTTAAAATATATTGTACTTTTTAATGGCTCTTGTACCTCAAATGAGTTAAGCAGAATACTTTATTTATATGTTAACAACTGGCACAATGTATATAAAATTGTTAATAAGCATTTATGTAAGCAGAAATTTATTGTTTTTGATTTAAGTGTATCTCCAGAACACCTATGTATAGGCTGGGATAAATTTTGACATTAGATTAATAAACCAAGGTTTGACATTCAAATAATTATTTTTTTTGTTATTTATTAATATAACAATATAGTATACATTTCATCCACTACTTTTTAATAAGATGATTGTAGCCAGTTGATTTGGAATTGGTACAAATATTTTTGGTATCTTTTTTACTACTATTTTTAAATAAAATAGCTATCAGTATCCAGCCTGATTGAAGTTAAAGTATATATTGAAAAATAAATAAATTCTATAGTTTATTTGTACTAAAGGGAGTTTTGTATTGGATAAAATAAATGTATAGGGGGAGACAAAAATATTGCAACATTTTTTTCGGAAAACAAAATCTAATATTATTAAAATCTGATATACAATATGAAAAATAAAAAAAACTTTTTTAAACTTTGAACAACATATGTATATACTAAAAAAAACTATTCTAATTTATTTAATATTTAGTTGTATTACCTTTTGCATCAATTACAGCTTTAATGCGATAAGGTATACTATTGACAAGATTGCGAAAAAATTCTAAGGGAATTAATTCCCATTCATATTGTATCATTTGCTCTAATTCTATAAGATTTCTAGAAAGTGAATGATGTTTTCAAAGATTATTTTCCATTATTGATCAGACATTTTTCATTGGATTTAAGCCTGGGCTCCTAGATGGCCAAGAAAGTATCTCAACATTTGCTTTGATAAGTTCAGCCTGTACAACTTTTGCCTTATGCACTAGGGCATTGTCTTGTTGGAATAATCCATTTTGATGTAAAAACATTTGATTTAAATGGTGAAATTGCATATTCTTTAAGTAATTTTGCATGAACTTTATCGGTTACTTTACTATTATGTGATATAAATGGATCATGATTAATCCAAAAAAATCTTAACCATACCATTTTAGTTTTTTTTTTTGAAACTGTTCCTGCAATACAATCATGATTGTATTTTTCATTGGTTTTATGCCATACATGAACACTAGCAGTAGTACGAAACTAAGTAAAAGATTTTTATCTGTCCAATAAATTGATCACTATTTTTCAAGAAACCAACTTTCATGTTCCAAATATCAATTAAGTTGATTATTAATATTATTTTCGGTAAGTAGAGGCTTGTGACAAGCAATGTGAGAATATAATTCAAGGTTATGAAAATTATAGGAAAGTGTTTAATATTTAATAATTGACCTTTATTTTTTTCCCATTCTACACAGAGTTGTATAACCAATTGTTCAAGATGTTTACAATCAGATTCATCAATTAATAGTGGATGACCTTGATGTTTCTTTTCTTTAGAATTATAGTGGTGAGTAATAAATCTTGAAACGGTGCTATAACTACATCCAACATTTTTTGCAATAATCCAATATGAATGACTGGAACAATGTCCTTTAATAATATCTTTATGTGTTAACATAACAAAAAAAATTTTTTTTAATGAATTTATATTAAAAATTACATGTGTAATATTGATATAATATTAGTGTAATTTTAAAAAATATCTTTATATGTTGTCTTTTCTATATATTTATTATAGTTTAAAAATTATTTTTTATTTTTTTATTTTTTTGGGTTTCCCCTCATAGGTAAGCATCATTTCTTTATTTGATATTGTATATAACATGGTATACATCGTGAAA